TTCGAGAAAATCTAAAACATTGAGCATTTCGGGGCAATTTTACCGCGTATACAATTAAACCTATAACTAACATAACTTGAAAATTTGGGCTCGATTGATAAAGTATTAAGGCAGAAATTTGAAAAATCTCGAATAACCTCGGCCCAGGTCTGCGTACCTTAGTTTACCAACACTCGCAGCGAACATCCTGCCACCTAGCGTTATAATGCCGCATTAAATTCACACTACTTGTATTCGTCTTCGTTGAATGCGCTTCATGGTTTGCGTGACTGAATTTACATTTGTAATAGAGATGATCATAATTATTTATTTTATGATCATAATTATTTATTAAAGAAACTGTATCAATTTAAAAGAAAGAAGAACGAATTTACAAGAATATAGCAACATAGAAGTAAGGACAAAATGAAGAATGAAAAAAGTTCAAAGTGAAATGTAATAAAGACGAATATGAAAACAATAAAGTGACATATAGTTACAATAATAACAAAGAATAAAGAAGTAAGCAGAATAAGAATAAAAGCAAGATAAATGGACTTTTGGCGGTAATTCCCTTCCATATAGCTGTGCTTGTCTATTTTGCCTCTTATAAAGCCCCATTTCCCCTTACGATGTTATGCCTGACACTAATTTTTTCTACATTGCACCAAAAATAGATTTCAAATGCAAAATTAATACTGGTTATGCTTATGTTAACTCCGATTCTCTCACTGTGTTTGGCTAGAACTTGAGCAAATGTAAACGAGAAACTTGACATGTTTGCTTAATCAGTTTGTATCAACTTAATCGTTGCATGAATCATATGAAATAGTTATTGCTGTTTTTTTTTCTGTCAGTACGATGATTTTCCACCATCAAAAAACAATGTTCACCTCGCCCTTTGGGCTCAATAAATCTTTACTCCTCAAGATTCTGAATCATTGCATTTACCTTCAAAACAGCAATAATTGTGTAATGTATCTTCCCAATTTAGCTCAGGTGAGCATTTTGGCCAACGGGTCTCTTGATTTATTTTTTTTTTTGGCCCCCTAAAAATTTAAATTTTATTCTACAAGGGGTCATTATTCTAAGGGGGTCATTTTTCTTCACGTAGGGTATGCAGATTCTAGGGGGCTGACACTTTTTCTGCGGGCAAAAGGGTCATTTTTCGACGTCGAATAATGACCGCGGTCATTTTTCGCCGTTGAATTATGACCGGGGGTCATTATTCGACGGCGAAAAATGACCCCTGGTCATTATTGTATGGGGGTCATTATTCGTCTTTACACCGGACGATTTGCGAAGGAACAGTCACTATCTATGTTTACGTCTAGGTTTGACGCGACGCCGGGAAGGAGAATCGAACCCGGTACCTCTCGATCATGAAGACCTAATAACTGTTTATTGACGAAAGGTAACAGTGAATCAAATGAAACATCGTATAATTTGGTTTATTGTATGATCGATGTCCATGACTACTTTCAAGTTTTTGGTATTTGTTAAAGTCTCATCAGAAAGATCCGAAATTATTGATGTGATCATTGAAACCGGGAACGCAGTACCAAGCTTCGGACCCAGTATTATTCTTGTTTTCGACAGAATGGAGTATACCCGAAGTGGGGTTATCTGTGGGATGCTAAATTTTTTAGTTAAAAATTTGAGAAACAAATAGGGGAGAGGACGTATTAATAACTGAGCATCTCATGTCGTTTTGGGGTATACATGTACATGAGATGTTTAAAAAAAAAAAAGAAGAAGAAAGAAAAGAAAAAAGTTAGCCTTTTAAAAAAAGTTTACCCAATCATCCATTTGATTTCCATGTAAAAAAAAAAAAAAAAAAAAAAAAAAAAAACAGGCTGTCATAATGAGTATTGTTAAAAATAACTGCTTTTTAATTATGATCATTACTTCTAAATGTCATTGTGAGAGATTTGCCTATTGCTAGACTGAGTTTATTCTGGAGTTAAAATTTCAATTCCCTTTTAGAATATTACTAGTAGTATTTAAAGTTATTTCATACCACCAGCTTATCTACTCTTTTTATTTTTAACATAATAAAGTCGTTAATTAATGCATTCTACTTTCCAATTTTCCTGTCTTTATTTTTTAAAAATATTGAAATCAACCTTTTTCCTTCTGACTTGACGACCAAAAGAAATATTTTGTCTAAGAATATTAAAGATCTACAGAAGTTTTATATTTTAATGATAATAAACTTTTAAGAGAAATCCATGTACTATATAGATTTTACATGATACGGTCCAATATTCTTTTTATCTCAAAGCACAGTTGATGTCGACAAAATTATCAAGAAATTAAAAATGCAGTCTTGTGGAGCAGCAAAACTGCTGGTCAATGTTTTTACTTCTAAGACTGAGCAACAGAATTAACTTCTTTTGGACATCAGAAGACAATTAGAAATGAATTTTTTTTTTTACACATTTTCGTACATTCACTTTTTCTACCTGTGCACAAATTACTAGTAAACTGTCGATCAGTTGCGCGCCAGACATATACAGTGTACACATGATTTACTGGATCAACCCTTGTGTCCTTTACTAAATTTAGTGAATTTTAGAAATGCATGTAAGTACTTATATGTATACCATAATGAAAATGATGTCAAAGAGATACTTTGCAAAAGGGCAATTAAAGAGCCGGGCAGTATACATGTAACAAGCCATATCAGCATATATATATTTACCTCTGGTACGGAGTTTGTCTATTGAAACAGAAGGGACTTTATTTGTTTTATTTTTTTTTTCCTGTTTCAGGAAGATTGTTACTACATGTTTCATAACCTCTGAAAGAGGAAAACTTGTATTTTCGAAGAAAAAAAAACTTTCGGTCATCTTTCTAATTCAATGTTCTGACACTGGTGCAACAGGACATCATTATCGGTGGCAGGAGCGGCAGACCTATTTGTGGTTGTGTTAGAAAGTGCACATGGGGAATTGGAAAGCTATTTCTTCTTGGTTCGATAGAGTAATTCCATGATGGTATTATGATGAGTGTTATGAATTAAAACTGTACAACTTTATGCATTACATGTATCTTAATTGTTGATATCATGTTTTAATTCTTTTTTTTTTTTTCCATTTCTTACCAGATATTTATTATTTTATGATTTTATAAAGGTCTACAAGAAGTATTCCCCATCGTGGGAGTGTGTCAGTAGTGAACTCTAAACATAATGATCGAGTTTCCATATATTAATTACAATGCCAAGTGATAAAAAAAAAATACTTTTTAGAATTAGTAATTTTTGTCTGTAAACGTCTTTTTTGTCTGGGGATCATTACAACTTTCACAATTATAAATCTTATGTAGATATGTGTATAATTACATTTGTCTTTTTTTTTAAATTTCGATAATAAATTCCTATCCTTTATCTCCGATTCTTTTGATTAAAAATGCACTGAAAATTAAGTAACACAATTTTTTTTTTATCCATCTTGCAATTTCTGTGATTAAATGTTTATGCATTTTATTTCATATTAAAGATTCATGAGTGTTTAATTTCCATGGACTTTTTTTGTGGAAAAACTCAAGTTTAAAAATTTTCCGGCCGATTTGACTCTTTGCATCAATTTTAAATTCTTGTACATACATGTACTCATCAAACTAACAAAGAAACTTTTCCGCATCTGGAAGAATAATGGCTTTTTTGCATTCAACTCAGTTTACTTCTTGGAAGATAGAATAAATGGTAACTTCGAGGCCCGTTTCAGAAATTCCAGATTGACCGGACGTTCTTCGCGGTGGTCCGGATTCATTTCATATTAATTAGTTATCAACATCAAAATTCAAAATGTAAAAGTGTAAATAAACAGGGTTTAGTAGCGTTGTAGTAGTAGTGCTATAGATGCTTTTTGTTTTCATTTGTTTTGTTCTTTCATGACTTTTTTATCTTTTCTATGTCCTGAAGAGAAGGGACAGGTGTCCTGAAAATTTGACAATTTTTTTTTGTTCGTGTCGTTGGTCATTTTTAGTGCTTTATATAAATTTCCATCCGTGACCTTGTATCTACTTAGTAGATCCGACACTTAGGATATACAGTGTTGTTGGTTTTTTAGTGCTCTCTCTCTTTCTAAAGAATTTAAAACAGAATTACCGAAAAGGTTTTGCACAAATATATACCTTAATAATTTTCAACAGTGCATTTGATGATACTCTTTCATGATAATGAAAATGTGAAGTGTGTTGTAGTTTTTGAAAATTCAAAAATACAAAATATCTAAATAAAAAGCTGATCTATACACAAAGGCGAATAACTTTTCACTCAACTAACCTTTACTTATTTGATTAAATTTTCATTTCAATTTGATGCTTTACCACTAGATTTACAGGAAAACATCTAAATACTTCATCGTCCTTATTTGTGATAACTTCCTGATCGGCAAAATAATTCCTCCTATTATTGGTTCTTTGTCCTCCATTGATAATGTTAGTACCATCTAGGAAGTTTAAATGTTTAGTGTGTGTGCCAAATATACAACTCAAGCAAACTATTTAATGTTTTATAAAATAAAAAGAACTGACCTAAAAAAAAATACAATTATTATTTTTATGAAATTTTAAGATAGAGAAATGTATCCTGTCTTGATATTAATTAATGAATAAATAATTATTAACTATTTAATCATTTTCAGTTAAAAATACTATTAATCATTCAATAATCACTTATTGCATGTAACATAAAATATACCAATATCTTTTTAAAAAAGTTAAAATATATAATAATAAACTTAATAATTTTTTACTGGCTTAAATAATGTCATTCAGATAAGAAGGATGACAAAAATACTTATTCAAAAGTCCACACTACAAATACTGGTGAATGAGAAATACATGTATATATACTCAGTGGGAGAAATAAATTATCATAAATGGAGGGGGGATAGAAGAAAATTGAAGATTATGAAATAGTCTTCTGGTATTCTTAATTACTAGATAAATCATACAGCAAAAGTATGTATATGACAAAGAAAAACAGTCAACATTCAATAACAACAGTGACATTTTGTTATAACTACATTCAATTTAATGCACATCAACAAATATACAAATAAACAAATTAACATACTTAGTCTAATAAATAATAAAATTGTCTAATTCCTCAAATTCCACAAATAATGTATCTAGTAACAAACTTCAGATGATTGTCCCTAACTGTTTTGTATTTCAAATAAATATTACATGTAACATCAAATACACATCCACAACACATAGATCTCCAAATTACATGACGTTCAATCAGCCCAAGTTTTTCATCAATACCGGTACTTTAATTAAGCAATATCATCTCAATCATCCAGAACAGTTTTTATCATTGGATTCCTCAATAGATGAAGTATGCATAACTCACAAGTAATAATGTCACGTATTCTTCAGGTTCATAAGAAGTAGTAGTATTTTTAGAAGCAGGATGGAATTTCAATTTTCTCATAAATATTTTCCTCAAAAATGCATGTACCAGTACATTTAAATAACCTCAAATTCCAGAATTACTTGCACATTACAATTCTAAGCTTGAGTTTATGAAGTGACAATTTTAACATACATACTAGAACTTACATAAATCATTCAGACTCATAACACAATATTAAATAATAAGACAAAACTTTATGACAATTAATACACAGAGTAATATTAAAACAAAAAATTAAGCTAAAAAAAAAAAGAAGAAATTTCAGTAACTTATAATCTGAGTTTTCTCCAAGAATTCTCTTTATTCTTAACAACAAGTATATTCCCCCTGCTCACTAAGGTGTCTGGAGCCCACATTAGTCCTTTCTTTATAACATGCATTACAATACCCTTGCTTACTAGAGTTGCCGTAATTGTTACACGAGGGTGTTTTACATTTTTGTCCCTTTCTAGAGCCCTCCACTTTCTCCATGGTTTGAATATATTGAGAATTTTCAATTCTTGTCCCACTAGATGACACTGGAATGTTATATTGCTGGGGGCTAAAGGGTTGGGGTAACTGAGTGTGAACTGGGGGACCTCTGTCTTTTTCTGCTACATTGTACTGTTCTACCTCTGATGGGAGGGGATAGGGGGAGGAACGTGGGGGAGGGGCTCTAAAAATAGCTTGTCTGTAGTGTTCAGTGCAACGGTAACTCATAGAGGGATCACCATATTTATCACACCCTGGCTCCACACAATTCAAGCCTGGACGAAGATGAGGGGCGGTGTTAGTCTGACGTGGTGTTACCACTGGAAGATTGCCTCTCATTGGGGACGAAAATGTTGCAACTAAAAAAAGAAAACAAGATGTGTTATTGATCAATCCAAATGGTCTGCTACTTCTGTGATTTATGTACCAGGCACCATCTTCCTAGTACAAAAATAGAATCTGATTTATTTTCTTTGCATTCTATAAATATTAGATATGTAAAATTCAAACTTCAAATTAAAGTGCACATAATGTGATCCAGTTCATGAAATGAGGAAGCAGTGTGATATAAAAAAGCATTGCTTGTTATATACACTCAAAATACCATATCACCCACAAAGACCTGCACATTTGCTGATGTCATGCCAACTAAAATCAATACATAGATGTCTTTACAATCGACGTACTAGTGCCTAATTATTCTACAAACAATTCCATAGATACAACGATTTAAAGCTTTAGTAATCAGGAAGTTAGAAGAATGACAGGTGAAACCTACCATAATGACAAATCTGACAGTTCACTGACACGAAACTGACACCTTTAACCACACCGTACTAACATGATTAAACACACATCTGTGTTTGTCACTCTAGGGATCAAATACTTCACTATTTTACATAAATTCTTTCTATAATCTTATAAGGAATTAATTCTAGGCCATTTATATACACAATTAAGTCTTTTTTTTCATTCATGACATCCATGTTTTGCATTTAACCATATGAGATGATAAATGTAGGAAGTGATAAATCAAAACTCCTTTAATGTGCAGTATTTCAGTTCCCTATAAATAAACATTGAAAAAAGGATATTTTACCCTCAACGGGGAAGGAATTATAAAAACAACTGATTTCTTAATTATCACGTGTTCACACATAAATTCCAAATTTTATGAAGCAAACAATTAAGACATACTAAAGATCCCTAAATACACTGTCAGACTGCAATGAGTGAATATGAGACATGTCGTAACTATAGCTGTAACAAACCTGAGAAAATCTCGTTTTCACCTACTAATTAGTTACCTTGGTAACAGTTAGAGCAGTAACCGTGGAATTTTTTGTCTCCATAGAAATCACAATTTTCAGTCAGACATTTGTGGCGTGAGGGAGAATACGCGTTTCCTTGCCTAGCTACAATCAGACCAATGAGACAAAAATTGAGAGAAAGTTAGTAAACTTAAGATTACTGGAAAACCAATGTTATACATTTCATGTAAATTATGTAATATTAATATTGTTAAGTTTTCTTCTTAGCTATGTTAACAGGTTAAAATACATACACCTGTACACATTTCTTTTTAATTTTGTATGAATTAATTTTAATTAATAAATCTTAAACATATGTCAATCTGTGATTAAAATGACATTGTAACCTATAGGCTTGAGGAAAAAAAACATGATAAACACCAAATTGGTCACAATTCTATCCAAAAACATGAAAGAAATGCAAAATACAGGGAAACAAGAGATATAGAAAAACAGAAAATGTCACATGTCACAGTTTGTCAGGCAATCGATTTCACATTATTTATTAGCAGGAAATCAGAAATATTGAGACAGAAAATAAACACAGTAGGAGATTAAATTAACAAGAGCTTACAGGCAAAACATTCTGAACAAGATGATAACTAAGACATAAAAACCACCTGATTTGCTAAGGAGGAACCAATCAAATCTTAACATGTGTATTTTTGTTGATTTATTATAAATGTTAAGTGTGAACCAAATTTCTCTCCAGAAAGAACACAGTGCAATACTCTTATTTAGTAACTAGAAATAAATATACTAACAGTACATTACCTGGTTTATGTCGTTTGACCTCCAGTGACCTTGACCTTGTGCTTTCTGCATGTTCTCTTTGAAGGATGCCTGTGCATCTGTCACATAGTTGCCTGGGAGGATAAATAAGGGCATCACACAATGGTGAGGCACATTTAACCTTATCCCTGGAGCTGGTCACAATGCGCGGTTGTGGAATTTCACCGGTCTCCAGCGGTGTATTGGATTCTAATGTACTGTTATCTGGGGGAGGTATCGGCTCTTTGCTAACCTCAACAGCTGGTGGTTTATTTTTAATGAAACACTGCAAACAAAATCCATACTCATTTTTAATTCTCTCTTCTTTACATCCTGGTGCAGAACACAAAAATTTGAGACAACTGGATGATGCTGAGCATGATCCGGAAGTCCCTAGAGACTCTAGGTGCTTTGTCTTATTGATACAAGTCTCACAATAACCAAGCAAATGTGCATGTCCAAAACTTTTGCATTCTTGAGATTTACATTTTCCTAACTTTTTGATATCTTCCAGACTGAGCATATTTCCTCCACTTTGAAAGAGCTGAATGTTTGAGTCTCCTGGAGAGGGGGTTCCAGTACTAGGGCCTCCACCTGTGGCATTCATCAAGTAAGTCTGTGAAGATGGACCCTCCTGGCCACTTACAGACATGGGAGTAGGAGTATGGTGTTTTGAAAAACACTCTTTACAAAAATTACTATAGTTCTGATGGCCTTGATTTTCACAGCTTGGTGACAGGCACTTGGCCGTTCGAGGAGAATTTGGACCAGTTCTATTTGATTCCATAACTTTTAAATTGAATGATCTAAATTCTCCTTCTCCAAACAGTCTACTGTCATCGACAGGTTCATTTTTAACAGCCCGAGGAGGGGAAGAACTCATTTCCTGACTGATTGGATGGCCTGTGGGTGTGATGTCGGGCTGGCACTCATGACAGAATGGATACTTATTCACAGACATTTTATTTCCACATTTACCAAAGTTTTGGCAATTTTCATCCATCATGGAAAAATTACCACTTGGCAGATACGGCATTGAAGCCAATGGCGCTGAAGGTTCCACAACAAAGTGTTTCCGATTCTCTGTTTCTTTTCTATTAAATTCTACTGTATATTTCTTGAAGCACTCAGAGCATATTCCACCATAATCAGGGGAACCGTAAAGTTCACATCCTGGAGTCTGGCATTTGGTTGATCCATACTGTTGACCAATAGATGCCTGAGGAGCAGAATTTTGACTAGAAACTGTTGTAGGCTCATTGTTCAATTTAAAGTTCATCCGAGGCTGACTGACAGAAACCTGTGTTCCTCTTATCCACATTTGATAGATTTGTTGACATTCTTCAAAATGGCTCTGCACAATGTCAAATGCTGGCTTGATTATATGATAATTTGACTTTGCCACAGGAATTTGAAGAATTGAATCTGCAGTGGTCATGGGAATATTTTTAGTATCTAAATACCCATTGATCAAATCATATCCCAACTGTTCTTCAGTATAAAGTAAAAATCGCAGCACAATAGGTTCAAAGTCATGATACACTAATGGAATAACATATTCTGAGTCTGTGGCTCTTCCATCCTGCACTGTTCTTTGAGGAAGAAGAGGTGTAAAGTGATTCATGCTGTACGCTATTGTAATCGGAGACTTGCAGGTGTCTGAGGGTTGCCAATCCAGAGGTAGATAAATCCCTCCAATATTATCCTTCTGCATGCTCTGACCATAAACTGAGCGGGCACTTCTGTCTGCTAAGACTATTATTGGTCTCTTTAAAATGTTGGCTAGTACATACAAGTGAATTCCTTCTAAAGACTGGAAGCTCAACGCAGTGTTTGTATCTAGAGGAATGTCTTCTGCTGCTTTGATAATATTTTCCCATTCTGCTTTCATGTCCTGAAAGACACAATTGACTAAAATGCAAAATTTCTTATCATACATGTACAAGTTTGTGTGTTCAATTTTACATGAAGCTTGTAGTGAAATTAACAACTCAAACATTCATTATTACCGTTGAGTTCATATCTGGGTTAAACTCATTCGGTCGATCGAGAGACATATTTCTCTGATGTATCAGCCATCTTTTGAAGAACTTGCCCGTTGTGTCATTGGCAAGAGAAAGGTATACTAGTCTGCGTAACATTAAATCCCTATCCTCAAACCCCCAAAGAAAAAGAGACACAGCATGCAGGAGACAGTTTCCATCTGCTACAAATTTAACAAAGGATTTGAAATAGTTATTATTTGATACCTATACAATTTTGATGCTAGGCAATGAATATATCAATGTATATATCACTTGCCATTAAAATAATTAAGGTCAAGTCATTTATTAATTATTATTCAACTCAAATTAAGTATGTCTTAAATATTAATATTAAAGGTGAAAATTTACTGATATTTGCTTGTTCACATACAATATCTGTATGAAGTACAAATGCACTACAATAAAATTAATTTTCTATCCATTTATCTGACATGATTTATCATAAAGATACTTGATAAATTAATCAATATATACCTCTTGCTTTCACAGGATATAAAACTTTTGCTGTTCTGCACCAGTTGATGACCTTTGATCTCTGAAGATCATCCTTCACATCTAGGTCAAGGACACTTACATTGTAAAAATGTTTGAACTCTTCATTTACTTGTTTGAGGCATGGCAACAGGGCAGTGAAGAAATGAAATGTCTTGAAACAGAATGGTTTCCCGTGATCTTGATTTGTGCCGGCCACATCTTTCTTCACCTGTTCCAAAAGTTGTTTTACCTTGTACGGAGAACTGTCAGCAAATTTACGCTTGAATGGTGGCGTGTTCATGATCTGAAAAAGGAACAACAAAAATTACATTCAGATTCAGAAATCATGAATACTGGTGGATGCCTCTAGAATCTGACTAAAGCCTCTTTTGTATAATATAGCTAAAATAATACATTTCTTCAAGAAATATATACCCCATATGAAAATATCAGGTGCATGAAAATAGCCATGATTCACAGATTTTATTTCCAGATTATAATTTTTTTTTATTAATACATGTATATATTAATTTTATTTTATTTGAGCCTTTTATGAAACCTTTCTTTTAATTGTCGATAGATTGAAAAAATCATGAACAATACATCTGTGCATCTACGTCGGTTTTCACATCACATACATTATTCATTCTGTTAATAATTCAGGAAAGGAAAAAAATATATATATACTTGTATTGAAGACAAGATTCCCTTAAATAATTTGAATTACACAGTCCTTATAAATAGCATATATAGTTGACATGATAGGGAAGAAAACTAAAGAATTATCAAAAATTCAGACATTACGACATTTGAAAACTGATGTCATTAAAACACTTGAAATAAACCAGGAATAAACTAATTAAATTATAATTAACTAGTATATACTGTATAGATATATATAACATGTCCCACTACATTAATCATCGGTTTCTACTTAAAGATTCTAGAATTTATTTTCGTACCCTGACTACACCTTCTGACTAACCTTAACTATGACTAAATAAAGTCAACAAAGAGACAAAGAATCTTACTGCTACTTCAAAGGACCTTTAAAATGTTTACTATTCGGAATCGTTTCCAGTCCTTATGTGTTAGGCCTAACTAACGTCACTCTTTAAAAAAAAAAATGCCCGTGTATCCAAATAAATGTTTTCCTGGATAAATTTTTATCCCAAAAGAGTTTGGATACAAATTTCTGATCTATTTTAAAGACATTCTTCGACTGGAAATAAAATTTTACGAACATTTTTACCTCTTACGGAAATTACGCCTGCTCCATTATTGACAAAATCAGGAACGTTGAGGGAATATCCAAACGGGGAATTCCCACCGCTTTTTTGATTGGTTAAATTTTGTCACGTGATTAATTGTTTCTACTTTCAGTTTGTTTGGGGCGTTTTGTGTAGACAAAATCAGGTGAGTCCGTGAGAAAGATACATTGTATTTTCGTGTTTTGTTTGTTTTTGATTCATGAAGTGTTTTTTTTATTATTGTTAACATGTCGGAGAAGTCGTGTTGACAATGTGTATCGCAATATGAATCATGAACTGACAGCTAAGGCATAAAACATGCTTTAAACAGACCTGAAAGCAAAGGTCAAACTCGAAGTACTGGTGAGCATGGTGAGCCCCATAGTGATAGTCACGTGGTAAATTGTACCACATGGACACAATTGTAATCAGAATATTGAATAATATAATTGAATGTTACACGTAACGTCTATATTGTGCAAAAACTAATCAATAAAATAAGACAGATTAATCATTTGTTGAGGCCTAATGTCTATAAATATTCATTTTAAATATAGCCTGTCAGATATATCCTAGCCAAATAGTTTGTCTGTTCTGATATAAGAAAACTTTTCGTTCTTGCCAATGAAATAATACAAATAAAATGAATAATTTTACTTCTTATTTACAATGTTTACTACAAACACTCCTAAATTTTGAAACTGAAATATTATTCAACATGTTCAAACACATTTTATTGGTACTTGTTGTCTTTGAGAAATTTTGGAGGTTTTTTTTTATTGGATAATGTAATTTTGAATGTTTAGATTGAAATAAATGCAATGTTGTGTACATCCGTAATATTCTGTGTTGTAAATTATTACACAGTATTAACCAGTAGATGATGATCTCAGCAATACAACATTTTGATGTTTAACATTAACGCTTTTGAAAAAAATTGTCAACACATTACATTTGTATACCTTTGAAAAGTGTAGCTAATATATTATTGATGGTACACACTGTTCTTGATCATGTTGATGTACATGTATTTATAAGAAATGGGAGGTGACATAAGTTTCCTACCTTTAGTGTACCTAAAGTAAGTAAAGTTTTAGTTTAGTATGAAATTTACATCCTGAATTTTGGTCTAAATAGTGATCAGAAATTCATTCACAATTAACATACATTTTATTTATAACATAAATGGATTTTGAAAATAATATTTCGATTCATAAATGTCCTTATTTTCCAACTATGTCATGTTATTTGAAAATTCTAAAAATATCTTTATTTTTAGAATGATTTATAGTTATTAAGAAACAATTGGCTTTTGTAAAACTTGACTTCCTTCCTTAATTATAAAGAAGTCATAGTGCTATTGATTGGGTCTATCCTGTATGGCCTCTTTTATCAGCATATTAGGGAAAATTGCTGTAAGTTGCAATATTTTTGTATTAATGATAAAATAACGTTGATTTAAATAAACACACTATTTCTCATTGTAATGGCCAATTGAATTTTGTTACTCAGAAGTATTTGCACTTGAATTTTACACTCAAACTTCATGCAGGAACTTTTAACTGCAGTTATTAAATGGGGATGTAGGGGTAAAGTCCATTATGTTTAATATGTACATGAGATTTATATTCAAATGATTTTTTAAGTGCATGACCTCAACAAATTGCCAGGTACATCAGTTTACCCTCGATATCTCAAATCCTTGGATATCTCGAAGTTTTTTTATCAGTCCCATGGAGCTTAAGGTCAAGATCTAGTAAATAAAAGGAGCGTACAGATTTCTCAAATTTGAGAAATAAATTCCTTTAATGAAGCTTTATAAGTATAGCTTGGTCAAATAAGGTGTTTTGGGGGCATAATTTGTAGGTAAACAAGATGAAAAATCATATTATAAACTGTCATTTTCATTGAAAAATTAAGAAAATCAGGAAATGGGAGTTTTTTCCATATCAGACAAATTAAATGTATCCAGATTGCCTACAGTCTCTCAGAGAACGGTAATTTGTATGTTCTTAGCCTCTTCTTTAAAATAATATTACATTGAATATAGGTTTCAGGATTACTTTTCACATGATTTCAAATGGAATTCGAGGAAAAATACTTTATTTTCTACATAATTCTATTACAGCCGTAAAATAGAAAGCCGGAAAAAAAGAAAGTTTAATTTGATTATGATGTCATAATGGATCTCGCATAAAAAATGCAGTTTAAAATCATTTACTAGATCTTGACCTTAAGATAACGAGGTTTGACTGTATTATTTAAGAAAAAAATTCTTTTTCTACTTTGAATATTGGGTAATAAACCTCAAATACTTTTTTCCAGCAGCAGCTGATAGGCTACATTGTATCTGAGTTAATTAGCTTTACATTACATGCTCGGAGCTCATAGTCAATACTTCTAAAAAGCTGTAGTCAATACTTCTTAAAAGCATAGTCAATATGCTTCTTTAAAGCTGTTTCTTATGTATTATAATTACAAATTTATATCAAGGCCAGAAGATCATGAATCAACACTTAAGTCAAAATTTCAATAACCTGTAAAATGCAAAACAAACACTCAACAACTGCAGCCAAAAGCACTCTGGTGGTGTCATCTTTTAGAGCATTTTTATTTTGGACTGCTTGACAATTTCATAATATACAGATTTTGACAAGTCTAAATTGTTTTATGATCCTGCATAGGGACAGGATATCAATTTCTGAACAGGTCATTTTTTAAGAAATCACGTGCAAGCACATATCAAAAGTGACCCTCATCACAAATGTAAAGGTTTGAAATTATAATCACATTAATAAAATCTCTAATTTCTTTTACATTTACAGATGAAGGTATCCCACCTGCTTCGATCAGTGCAGTATGCCACACTGACTGTAGTGGGGTGGATTGTGTGCCCTATAATTAGACTGATATTTAGTCTAATCTACAAGTCCAGTTCAAAATGTGTGGACCCCATAGAAAATCCGCTATGTCTAATGACAGCTGTGGAATTAGCGGGAAAGATCAGGTCAAGGGAGGTAATTAATTAAGGCATGAACTGTGGGAAATGAGAGAGCAATAATTCCTAGACAACTGACACCTAAACTTAGAATTACCCAGCATTGATCAGTATATGTGTTTCAATGTCTAATTATATTTGTGCTAAAAAATTTTTTTAGATTACTCTGGAATATTATAAAGTTATATTTTTAGAGCATTAACTGCTATCAGCATGGGGTTATACAATGTATGTGTAGCTCAATTAAAAGAAAATGTAATTAACAATTTAGGTTATGATGAAAAAATTGCTGTTAATAGCATGTTTAATATGACAATAATTACACCGTACTTTACATGACTGTACAGTCCAACGCCTATATCTAACAGATGATTGAGATATCTCAATGCCAGTATTTGAGATATGTGTGTTTTGATATTTGAGTTATCAATATATCAGAGTATTCAAGATATTTTAGTAGGTATCTGAGTTATTAAAATATCAACATATTTGAGATATCAAAGTTGAAACTTGAATCAATTATGAGTTGGACTGTCAAGTTGCTTTGATACATGTATATCCCTGGTATTTTATATAATGTGGGTGATGAGATCACAAAGTTAAACTGTATTTAAGTTAAATTGATACAATTAGCTGTATCATTTGTAAGTGACAGTGTTCACTTTACTTGGCAAAATCAGATGTACTTTTTATACACAAGCTGTTGAGTAATTTATTTTAAAATTTTTAAATAGATCAGTAAAACATGCCTATAGTGATCTCGAAGGCCATCAGGATGATCAATCGGATTCATTATAAATGTAATTTGTCATTAATCCAATAAGTTCATCATTAATATGTTTTCAAACTACAGGGAAAGAACATGATACTTCACTGTAAGAGGGAATTCATTATAAACATGTTCACTATATCCATGTTCTACTGTATTCTGTTTTATTTATAGGTCACTGCAGAGAAGGTCATGCAGGCTTATATAGAGAGAGCCAAACTAGTGAACAAGGACTGTAACTTCATTGTGGCAGACAGATTTCAAGAAGCATTACAGGAAGCTAAAAGTGTGGACAGGATACTGGACAGTAAAATAAAGTCTGAGAAATACTCCACACAAAACGCTCCATTCCTAGGAGTCCCAACATCTATCAAAGAGGCTTTTGCTCTCAGAGGTATTGAAATGCATATAATTATAGACTTGAGGTACAGAATATACTGTAGGTATTACAGAAATGATCCATGCAAAAACAAGGATAATAATATTGTACAATAGAAATGGCCCATGTTCAGGGTTGTAATTATACATACAGTATAAGAGGGATACCCTGGATCCAGGATGAAGGATAACATATTATAAGGATTCCCCATGCTTCGTTATTTATAATATGCTTTACAGGGATACCTCATGCTTGGGGTTACAGGGATGCCCTGGACACCAGGTTTATGATAATGTACAATACTGGAGAGATTGCAGGGATTCAGGATTGATGGTGACATATATGGATACCATACTCAGGGTAATTTATAATGCATTACAGGAATGCCCCATACATCAGTGTTATTTATAATGCATAACAGGGATGCATTTTACTCAGTGTGATATTTAATGCATTACAGGGATACTCCATAGAGTGATTTTTAATATACATTGCAGTGAAACTCCATAGGGATTCTGCATACTCAGGGTTATTTTTAATACATAACAGAGATGCCCCTTACTCAATATTACTTTTAATGCATTACAGGGATGCCCCAGACATTAAAGATAATGATATGTACAGTATTAGAGGGATTCCTTGATTCGGAATTGATGATTACATATTACAAGGATACCCTATATGCTCTGGGTTATTTATAATGCATTACGGTCAGTGTTACTTATTAAACAATGTAATGAATTACAGGAATGCCCAAGACACAAGTGTTATATATATTGCATTGCAGGGATGCCTTATACTTAGAGTGATTTTTGTATTGCATTACAGGGATGCCCCATGCTCAGGAATATTTTAATGCATTATGGAGATGCCACTTACTGTCTTTTTTATGATATGTACATGAGTATTAGATGGATTAAATCCCCCCCCCCCTATTCAGGATTGATGATAACATATTACAGGGATACCTTCATACTCAGTGTTATTCATAATGCATTATAAAAATACCTTATACTCAGTGTTATTTATAATGCATTACAGGTATGACTCATACTCAGAGTTTTTTAATAATATATTACAGGGATGCCACAGACATCAGGATTAATGATCGTGAAGGACTATAAAGCCACAGAAGATGCTCCTGTTGTCAAGCGCTTGAGACAGGCTGGAATGATTCCATATATGGTAACCAATGTCAGTGAACTGTGTATGTGGTATGAATCAGCCAACAGACTGAACGGCCGAACATGTAACCCCTACAATACTGCAAGGATAGTGGGGGGAAGCTCAGGTGCTTATATGCGTGTACCTGTATTTATCTAAGGCCTTTCTAAGTTTTTCTCTGTTAAGCCTTCACCACTCTTTCACAAATATTACACAGGCTGATATTATGAAATACACAATTTAATAAATATTGATATAAATGGCATCCTACGTGGGATTTTATTTCATTTTTGAATTCTCTTATTTAGTTCAATTTCATATGAGCTCAAGGACTTATGTACGTATCTCACTGGTAAAATTTTGTTAATTTTCAGAAAAGAAATTAAATTTCAAATGTTTTGGACAAAAAAATCAATTTCGACATCAGATTTTATGGGTTTTTCTCTTTTTTTTCTTTTTTTTTTTTTGACTGAAAATCTTTAAATTTTCAAGATTTTTGACAAAAAATGTTACACTTTTTTTTTAAATTATTAGAGGTACAAAGGGTGTTCTACTGAATTTATGCAACTGATAAGTCACATTTTTTATTGTTATAGATGGAATGGAGTGTGAATTTGCATGAATGAAATTATATTTTTCTTTAGTAACAGGTTGGGAGGGGTGTGATATTGAGTTTTAATGTGATATTTTTTATTGTAATAGGCGGGGAGGGATATATTATTGCATTTGAATTAGTGATTTTTTTTCTTGTTATAGGTAGAGAGGAGTGTACAATATTAAATTTTTAATTAGTGATATTTTTTTCTTGTCAGTTAAGGAGGAGTGTGCAATTTAATTTGAATGATATTTCTTTTCTTATTATAGGTAGAGAGGAATATATTGCAATTAAATTTGAATAAGGGATTTTTTGTTATAGTTGCAAGGGGAGAAGTGTGCTATTGCAAATTTGAACAAGTGATAGTTTTTCTTGTTATAGGTGGTGAGAAATGTGCTGTTGTAAATTTTAAGTTTGAATTAGTGATATTTTTATTCTTGTTATAGGTGGGGAGGGCTGTGCGATTGCCTCTGGGGCTGCTGTGGCTGGCCTGGGGTCTGATATTGGAGGCAGCATCAGAATGCCAAGCTTCTTCAATGGAATATTTGGCCATAAACCATCAGTTGGTAACAAAGTTAGAGTAATGTGGAAGCTGTACTTCTACAAATTTTGAAGCAAAAAAAATTTTCTCGACATTACTGTTACCGGTACCTCTTTTAATCAGTATTAAAGAAATTTCTGTTTATTAATTTGATAGGGTTAGTTCCCAATGAGGACCAGTTTCCACTGCCAACTGGGCGAGACATGGAGCTGTTGACTACAGGACCAATGTGTAGATATGCTACTGACCTTCTACCTCTGCTAAAGGTCATGTCTGGACCAGAGGCACAGCTAGCCAAATTAGATGAAAAGGTCATTCATGCCTTTTTATGACTGCTTTTTAAACAGAATATCAATATTAATTGACTATGCCAGACATTGATAAACACGCCATGCTTTTGCTGACATTTATATTTGATAGGAACTAGTAAAACCGGTCAAGTAAAAATTGTTATATGCCCTAAAGGGCAGAATTTTGATTCTATTGGGATGCATTTGTTAAGATAAATGAGTTTTGAAAATTGCAGGTTGATGTTAAGAAATTAAGGTTTTACACAATGTATGATGATGGAGGAAATCTCCTAGTGAGTCATGTAGAACCAGAAATCCAACAAGCTCAGCACAGGGTGAGTACATTTTTACTACAAAACTAGAAGCCACTAACAGAAGGTTTATATAATTTCCACAAACCATATCTTTTGCCTGGACATATCTCACTTCATTTATATGGAAAGAAGTCACTAGGATTTGTAATAGACTGATTTCTCATAAAATTGTTGTATCAATTTTTGCATTTGAAAGTTTATTTAAAAATAAAGTTGTATCCCACCCATACCTCTAAAGAAATATCCTACATGTATATTGAATTTAATCAATGGGATCGATCATGGAATTTTTCCATCAGGAGTTGGTCAAGGTCACAGTTGAAACATGTTCACTTCATAATCGAAAAATAAATGTATATGCAAAACATAAGTTTAAATGTACAATATCTGTAATATTGCTTGTTTTGATGGCTTATCATGCAACATATCTCAAGTTTGGTTCATGACAAAGATGTGTGATATTTGAACTCTGATGTACAGATTCATGTATAATTTTAAGCAAAAAAAAAAGAAGGGGGGGCAGATTTTAGTGTGGGGATTTGCCATATGCACCACTAATTGAAGATTGCTGTTTATATCCCCCAAAGGTTTTTTTTTCATTATGCTGTAAACATTTTTATGTAACATATATATTAAATCTAATGACAATTTTACTCGATAAAAAGGATTATTTCAATAAAAGACCTGTTGGGGAACCTCTTCATTCTTTTTTCTGGACCCCTTTCCTGGATATTTCACTTTTTATTCAGAAAAATTTTCATACAGTTTGTAATTGCTTTATATGTTACTACATTTTGAACACTACCGTAAAAAAAAAAATCTTAAACTTAAAAAAGAAAAAAACCTTTGAAATTTTTGCGTCATTCATATTGTTTTGTTCTGAATCATCATTTTTTATACGCCTTCCTAAGTGTCCTTAAGTTTCAATTTCTACTACTGTAAACACAAAAACAAATTCTTTTCTTCCTACATCCTTCCTGTTTACACTAATGACAGCCGAAGATAAAACACACCCCCGTCATCAGACAATTCATTGTCATTGTATCTTAAGAGGTAATAAAATAGCAAAAGCATTCGATTTCAACCTGTTTTTAGATTATGAATGTGTTTTATGATGTTTGACTCTCAGTATTACCCATTTCATTTGAAAAGTCAGCCATTTTAAGCATCCTGGATATAGGTAAATACAGAAATATGATCGTTTCATTTCATCATATAGCCAAGTGAGGAGGTTTAAAATTACATAGTTATCTTAGTGTAATATAACTACTTTTGCCTGTATGAATTTAAAATTGTAATATAAAAGGACATTGTGCAAAATATGAACAAACAGCCTTTCAAGAAATTTTCGGAAAATGTATGACTACTTATACCACATACATGTATACAGTGAACATGTATTTGTATCATTAGGCATCTCGAACACTAATATCTCGAATACCATGTGTATGTCAAAGTGATTTTGAAGTCCCAACTGCTTATTCCTTAATTATTTTACGCTGGATATCTCGAATCCTCGGATATCTCGGAGTATTTTCTCAGGCCCTTTGACTTCGAGATAACGAGGTTTGAGAGTATTTTTATTCATTTCTATCTTTTTATGTGAAAAGATAAATGATTTTGATATTCAATCAACTTTATTTTGTACATGTAATAAAAATGCTGAGAACAAAAATTGATCAAGTCCAGCGTTTAGCGAACTTTTCTGAAACAGAAAAATTCTACGTGGGAGATGACACACATGACACACAAACAGGTTCACATAAGTTATTTGCCTGCGTAATTTGGATTTTACTGAGTTAGTTTTTAGAAGATAAAAATTTATTACGCAAATGATTTTAATTATTTAATTATTCAAAACAAAAATTTCGGTGAATGTAATTCTGTAAGGGGTAAATATATCCTAAAATTTAATAATGTGTGCAGAATCTATAACGGAAAAGCGTTTGATGAACCCTCATAACGAAACGGTGTCAACTTTGCTATTTTTGTTCCTCGCTGTGAATTTATTGGTCACTGGCCATGAATCATTTAAACGTAACTGATGATAAGTATTTGTCATGAATCTTAGCATATGACATAAACGAGTTCGCTATTTCTAATGCGTTGTTTGATGTAAACAAAATTATGATTTAGCTAATCTGTTTACGATATTAGTCTCTATTGTTGTGTAGGTTGTTTTGATCTTTTAAAGACAATATCAGTCACGGGGTGTAGTGTTAAAGGGGTTTATCTGTTTATGGAGATCTTGACACAGTACTCTGCATGAATTGAAACTGATTAGACCTATGCATTGTCTTAGTCTTCAATTTAAAAAAATCTTTATCATGTTTGTTGATACTGATTTTGTAGTAAAAGGGGCTGTTTAATTACTTCTTGATATTTAGTCTTAAAATATTTATAGATGACCCCCAACAGGTGCCCAACCCACCCTGGGCTTATGTACAGTACCGCAGAGTTCATCGTAGTTTTCATTTACCAATTGTGAAAATTAAATGGAATTTATCTTTTAAAGACAGAATTGATTATGAAAGGAACTGTTTTGATACATGTATTTAGTTTCTTATTTCCCCCTCTTTAGAGGCACATAAATGCGTAAGATAGTAACTTAGTGAGAGCATTTTTCATTATACATAAAAAAGAAAACCGTATAGATCAAGTTTAAAAATATGTCAATTAAATGGGAATTTTTTTAAAATTATTTTTTCCATGTATCTTGAAGGCAAAATTTAAAGAATAAACATAATTTTACTCTGCACAAAAATCTTTCACAGTTTAGAGGGCCTATACTTGGGTTTATGGTATACACGTCTCTTTTCACCCTGTAAAGCACCAAGCCCTTCTTCACATGTAAAGGATTTGTCGTTTCGAAGGATAGAGATATCTTTATAAATATTCCTGATTTTTATTAATTTCTATAAGGAATAATCATGTTTAAGTCTATATTTATCGGTAATTGTAGTGATATTGCAGTAGCCATCACCAACATAAGGCGTTGTATTTCAGTAAGATAAGCGTTATAGAAAGTGAAGACGTTCATACATTGTATCTAGAATTTCGAAAATTCCAAACTTTTTAATTTGTGGGCGTATTTAAAATGATAAGGTACAACGTGTGGTTCTTTTGAATTGTCTATAAATTGTCTTTTATGTCTGCATTTTGAAATTGTCAATACTCGACAAACTTGTCTTGTCAGTACATGGCAGATGACTGAACAAAATGTGTAGGCGATTTTGAAACCATACATCTTATTCTATGAATCGTACAAAGCACAAACGCACATGCCAATTGAATTATCTTGAGTACTGAATTAAATACTTGTGTTAGAAAAAGATGTTTCCCATGTCGGATAAGATAAATAATTAAACATTTTATTGAAGAAAAATATAACAAATGAAAAGTTATACCTTGTACCAAAATAAATGGTGTTTTTTATGAGTATATCAGGGACAAATATTGTTAAAAGAGCATAAGGAGAATTAATGATGAAAGGTACATATACAGTTAAGTCAAGCAAGTTAACAAAAGCTAAAAAGTGATTTATGACTTATTTTTGAACAACAACTAAACACTGCCGAGAAATTGACCTTATATGAAAAAAATGATTTACTAGGTAAGAATTAAGAAAGAAAGGAATGAAAATTTTAAATTTTTAGTTGCTTTTACTCCTTTACTTACTTGCTGTTAGACACCTATATATATATATATATATATATATATATATATATATATATATATATATATATATATTTATTTATTTATTTATTTATTTATTTATCGTCTTGTATAATATCTTTGTGGTCTTAAACACTAGGGAAAAAATAAAATGGAAGGTGCGAGGTAAAAAAAAAAAAAACACGCTCGTAGACTAGACAGTGTTTCTTTTATCAAATTAAGCACCCTAGATTAACAAAATGATATGAACACTTACAGTGACAAAGTCGATGTTTCAATGGTGATATATTTTTTCAAGAAGCTATATGTATAGGGGCTTATATCGTAGAAAGAGAATTAACTAGGGGGATTCCAGAAGTTATCTTACGAACTTGAATTTAGGAGGTTTGGCACCTAGAAATCACGTATTTGTGCTCTGATTTAAATGCCAGTGTGCATATATTTTATTTACGTCATGGGAATTAGGTCACCTATTGACATTGTGTACTCACTAATCGCGTGGTGATTTTTGTCGTCACAAATATGATTAATCCTCTAGTTATTATCTACATATACATGTAGAATCTTGACTTAAAAATGTATGTTTAAAACAAACATGTCTGTATATCAAAGTTTTTTTCTATAGACATTGACAATTGTAGCCATTTATGGTGAGAACCTCGTAAGTTGCTAGAACTTGTGTTAAAACCATGTGTATCCTATTTATACAATAAAATATGTTCAAATCAAATCAGAATCTTGGTACATATGTCGCAATTTACACAGATCTCTCTAGAAATCCATTCGTCATATCTATTCACAACATACGTGAACAATTCCAGTTTAATTACTAATATCATAGTACTATTCATTGTTGGTGAAGAATAGCCTTCCTTTTATGATAGATATGCATGCTTTATTCAACCAATTTAAGAGACTAAATTTACAATTAAATTTCGAAATTCTAGTGTTAAACCAAATGCATGTTTCGAAAAAAAGCATGGTTATTCCAATGTATTTTTGATTGTAATCACAAGACTATTAATCAAAGATTAAATAACTTCTATTCAGAAAAACCACTTCTAGAAAAAAAATATATTTCTTTCATTATATGCAGTAAATGACAAGAAATTAACCATTTTTTTTAATACCGGATCAGACAATTTGCTAGAAATTTACTTTTCACACAAGTAAGGTTCATTTGAATAAAACATTTTGAAGAGTGACCCAATAAGTGACACGTGTTGTGCTCTTGGCTTCCTAGTACATGTAAACTTAAGTGACTTCCTGCAAACATATATTTGTTCTTTACATCATTGAAGGTTTGAAAAACAAAAACCCAGTGATATTGTGAAATACATACTTGTTTTTGTATACTTTATTTCTCAGACAAGCGTATATATACCACTATTGATTATCAAGTCGTTATATTTTTTTGAAGTAAAAATCCTCTTTTTTCAAACCAAAAACTTTAAATTAAAGCATTGGATTTCCCCCATTCAGCGTCCCATCTATTAACTAACTTAGGTTTGTTCTGACGTAAGTTCCATTCCCATTCCAAAAAATAGATGTTACGTAAGCGCAACTTAAAATACCATTAAAAACAAAGAAACAATACCTGTGTTACATAAGCATTACTAAAAATACGAAACAAGCATTGTGCATACGTACATTTCATAACCTATGAGTGCCACCTTTGACGCTTTTAATTTTAAATCAAGAAGGCTTTTTTCAGTTTAGTTTAGGAGAACTTGCACTTGTTTCTAACTTCCGTGATCTCTTTTGTAGGTGGTTTCATATCTCTGGGATACTCTTGGAGTTGCAGTAGAAGAAATCAATTTAAGTAAAATGAAGTTTTCTTTTGAAATGTGGGCGGCAAAGATGGCGTTGTCAGGAGGAACCGACTTTGCAACATATATGGCAAATTTCAATGGACGTGTTAATTGTTTCGTGGAGTTACTGAAATGGTTAGTGGGACGTTCAAATCACACCCTACCGGCCATTGGATTGGGAATGTCCCAAGGACTAGCCGATCTAACACCACGGACCAATAGAAAAAACTTACAAATTCTCAAGAAATTAGATGAAGAACTTAAAGAAATTTTAGGAGACAATGGGGTCTTGTTATATCCAACACACCCAAAAGTAGCTTTATATCATAATGAACCTCTATTTTATCCCTTTAATTTTGCTTATACTGGCTTGTTTAATGCCTTAGCATATCCCGTCACCCAGTGCCCGCTAGGACTGAACTCGGAAGGTCTACCTCTAGGAATACAAATCGTAACAACGCCAAACAATGACAGATTGTCTATTGCTGTAGCAGTGTTTCTAGAGAGAGTGTTTGGAGGGTGGGTCCCACCAAGGACAACTTAAATTCATCACAAGTAGAAATTTAAAATTCAAACAGTGAAATGCTTTCTTTAAATTTTCTATATCCTAGAATTTGAGTCAACTGTGTTAGTTTTTATTAGAAAGATGCTATACTCCACAAAAACGAAGTCAAAGGAGGCTTGCAGCTTTTTTGGATAAAAAGTATTATTCATAATGATTGAATAGGGCATTAATTGTTCATAAAAGTTAATACGAAGTTTTCTGTGAAGCTGTTTTGTAACTGATTATATGCATATTATTGAATTATAAAGGTCAAATGATGCACAGTTCTTAAGTTTAAACGTCTAAGTAATAAATCAAAAATTTTGCAAGATATTCTACTGACATTACCTATAGATATAAGACATATTGAACAGATTCTGCTGCCAAAAAAAATTAGAACCCTGAATTTACATCTTTAAAGTTGTTCTCCTGTCAAACACTACAACATATACAAATATAAATTTCTAATATATATATAAAGATGGAAAAGATAAGATAAAATACCTCTGTAGGAATATTTTAAAATTTACCGTAATGAGGAAGTAATCTAGAAATTTTATTAAAAATATTTATTTGTTGTTTATATCAAGAGATTTTCATACGTGTGTATTACCCAATAAAAAAATCTGTGCATCAAAACGGACAATTCTTTACTAATATAAAAAAGTTTCCTTATGAGTTTATTTCTTAGGATTACATATTAAAAAGATGTCAATCTTCACGTAATCTTCAAGAACATTAAGGACTCTTTATAATATTTAAAGTTGAGATTAGAAATCCAGTGTGAATGTAGCTCCACTAATGCTTTTCAAATAGAAATGCGTCATCAAAGTTGCTTAAAAGTCCCATTAATTTATTTCTCTATGTACGTGTACTTGTGTAGTCTGTACATTGTATGTAACGTGTATGTTTAGAATAAATTAAAATACATGTATCACGAAAAGAAGTTAATTGGAAATGTGTTCATGAGCGCGACTCGTGGGGCATTAATTACTTGATGTTCAAGTATGTTCATAGGTCAATTGAGTCACTCATAGGTGAACTACAGTGTATGTATTCTACCTGTTTTTGTCTTTTGTCATGCGTTCATTGTGTTTAAAAATTTGAATATTTCAGCTTCTTGTCAGAGACGGCTATTCTGATAATAGCATCAATGGATAAAGGAGAAAATATTTTGATTTTTTTTATTCTCTGCCTCCCTGTCACATGAGAGTGGAACCAAAAGCATTAAAATGATGTAATAAAAAAATCTTCATTCTTTTTTACTAGTGGACATCTAGCAGCCAAACTGTTTCCAATGATTTTAATATGCAATCCCTTTCCCAAATTTGTGAAATTTCTGGCCCCTGGGTGGGGTTAAGCTGGTCATATATTGTAAACATATTACACCTTTCAAAAGCTTCTTTACTCATTAAAATTAAGCAGGCGAACTGTTGGCATGAGTATGTTATAAACCCTTTACCAAAATTGCAAAATGCGTTTGACGTTGAAGTGTTCATGTGCAAGGGTGAGCTAGTATTGAAATTACAAGTACATTTTTACAACCACCTTCAATTTGCATTGACATTTAACAGGAAAAATGTTTGCATGATTATAACGAGAAGCGAGTCTTCTAAAAAAAAAATCATGTTCCCTGGGTCAAAGGAGTATGCCCTTAGGTGTAGCTAAGTTGGATATATATTGAAAATGCATAGTATCTTATAAAATCTTCATTTTTACTCTTGGACATCTAGCATGCAGTGAACCTAATCTTCTGTACTCCTGAACTTCTAAGAGACAAGCTGAATAAATATGATAATGATTATGTAATCACCAAGCTGTAAATTTTTGTCACATAAATCTGAATATGGGTTAAAGTGATCAAAGCCTGAAAAACACATTTTATTCGTGTAAATTCAGATAAGTTACATGTATAAGCCCCTGCATAGTTTGGATTTAATGGTAAGTTGTAAGAAGATAAGAAATTTACTCAAGAAATTACGAACCTATGCATGTATCTGGTAATAAAATAAAAACAAAAAAAGGTGAACATAATTCTGTAAGGGTGAAATATATCTAAGAATTTGAATATGAATGCAAAATCTGGAATAGGATTTGTTGAACCCTCAGTTTTGTTATTTTCTTCTACGTTGACAGTTTATTGGCTACTGATTATGGATTGTTTGTTACATCTTCATCTTGTACATGATAGATATAAGTCATAAAAATAAAAGTTAGTTGATGAATTAGACGAGCTTGGTATTTTAAGATTTTTAACATTCTTTGGTGTAAATAAAAAAAAAGGATTTGTTATAACCCAGTGTGTATAAATGTGCAGTTTTCTTGAGTATTCTTGAGTATTGAGCGAAGGGTGGGCTGTTTAAGGTATCCTGTTATATTTTTCACAAAGTGCTATAAATAAGGTGACGAGACTAGGCTAGGCTATAGCATTATCTTAATCTGTAAAGAAAACTTTTTGACACTTTTGCTGATATTGATTCGGTAAAAGTGGTCCTTTGAATGCCTTCTTGATATTTTAACTTAAAATATTTATAGATGACAACTCCACCTACCCCACGCTCAATACCACAGAGTTCACATAGTTTCCATCAAATGTAAAAATTAAAATATAATAGCTTAAATATAATAACAATGGTTATTTCCATTCTTATGTCAACATGATGTATCCCGGTGAGCTTGAGATAAAAGATACCACAGAGTCTGACACATCTGTTTCATATTTGGATATATTATTAGAAAAAGACGTAAATGGTAATCAAAGAACAAAGCCTTATGATAAACGTGATGACTTTAACTTTTCAATCGTCAACTTCCCTTACTTATGCAGCAATATACCCTTATCACCTGCATACCGGGTTTATGTCTCTCAGTTGATTCGATACGCCAGAGCATGCTCTACGTATGAACAATTTCTAAAACGAGTTAAGTTATTGACAAACAAGTTGATGAAACAAGAATATCAGCAGTCTCCTTTAAAGTCATCATTTCGTAAGTTCTATGGTCGATACAATGACCTTGTCAGCAAATACAATCTATCATTAAGTCAAATAATGACTGACTTTTTTTTTCATACTAATTGATTGGCCATTATTTACACACTGAATTGTCGACGGATTTTTCCGTTATTTCCCGATCATGACAAGGAGCACACGGCGGGTTTGACCGTTCGACAGGGGCTGCTCACTCCTCCATGGCACCTGATCCCACCTCTGATGTCTTAGAGGTCCGTGTTTGCTCTGCTCCTATTTTGTAATGTTTAATTGACTTTTGAGCTCGAATACTGTTCGCTATCTCCACATAGTTCATTCCATATATATTACAACTTGATATATCCAAGTGAACTTGAAATATTAGACACCACAGAGTCTGCCACAATTGCTTCATATTTGGATGTTTTACTTACTATAGACGATAAGGATCAACTAAATTGACAAACGAGATGAACTGCTTTTTTTATCGTCAACTTTCCTTGTTAATGTAGTAATATCCCGCTTTTACCTGCATATGGTGTTTACATATTCCAACTTATCCGATATTCAAGAGCATGCTCCGAGTATAATCAATTTTTAAACCGAGGCAGGCTACTGACAAATAAGTTGATGTTACAGGGATTTCAACAACCTCGTTTAAAGTCGGAATTTCGTAAATTCTATGGTCGTTATAATGACCTTGTTAAAAATATATAACCTATCATTGGATCATATTTTGGCTGACGTGTTTCATAGTCCTTTATTTTCATACTGAATTTGACTACGGAATGTTCCGTCTACCCGATCAATACATAGGGCTCACGGAGGGTGTGACCTGGAATTTCAAGGGGTTTCGTGTTTTATGCCCTCTTCACAGATTTGTATTGCTTATAGTTGTTTTTTTTTTTTTTTTTTTTTTTTTTTTTTTTTTTGATCGATCGTTATCTTCAATTTTTCATATACATTTCAAAGATAACATTGATTTATAGTGGTAATGTTTTATTAAATTTATACTTAGTCTAGATTTTTCCTCTAGAAATAATCAACTAAAGAGAAATATTAATATCAAGAACTTCGATAGGAAATAAGCACGAATTTTTTCGTTACGTGTAAAACAGAAAACTGTATGAAGACATTGGAACACATTGAAAAACAGTCCAAAGGATGAATGATTAACAATGTTATTCTAAAAGACTATTAATGAATGATAAAAATGGTCACTGCTTTACACCCACACACTGTGTATAATTATAAAGGTTGGATCTATATCTGAGTTAATGGCATATCTTTCCACCTTGTACTTGATGTATTAATCTTGTCAAGGATTGTCGTTTCGTAGGATGGAGATATGTATTCTAATCATTCTGATTTTCAAGGATAATCGTTTTAATTTTTTTAATCCATATTTCACCAGTAATTGTTTCGTAAAAATGAATATATGTTCACCTTATTTATTTTAATTATTTTTTTTTTCAAGAAAACTATAACAAATGAAATATAAAGTCAAAGTGCTGTAATGAGAAAAACAAATGTGCAGAGACTGTTAAAATAGCTTAAGGTATGTATTTCAATAAAAGAATAAAAATAAATACATACATCCAAATTCAAATCTTACGCCAGATCAATTAGTGATACAATTATATTAACATGGATATCTTTAAACAACTCAACCCAATTTAACGGTTGAAAAAATTATTCATTTGAACCCCCATAACGGTGCACAGTGATATATATATATTCTGGAATGTCAACAAATGATTAAAAACTGCGAAGAATTGATGTATAAATAAAGATGGGATTGAAGATTTTTAAAATATCTAGTTGGTTTTACTCACTTGCTGTCCTTAACTTTTTTCCTCTTGTACAATATCATAGTTCTCTAGAATGCGAAGGGGAAATGCAAAATTAAGGCCAGTTAAGTGAGGTTAAAATAATCTAGACTAGACAATATTTTTTTTTATCAAATTTAAAGATCCAATATTTAAAAAAATAATGATTATTATTTTACACTTACACTTACAACGTCGACGTTGCATTGTGAATAGTGACATATGTATAGGGGCTTATATCGTAGAAATAAAATTAACAAGGGGGATCCCAGAAATCATACGATCTTAAATTAAGGTGTGGCCCCTTGAAATCACGTATTAGTGCTTTGATTTAAATGCCAGTGTGCATACTTTTATTTACCTCTAGGAAATGAGGTCACTTGATAATATTGTCAATATAGTGTACTAAATGATCGCTTCTTGTTTTTCTTCATATATATGCAATTGTAATTGAGTAAACCTTTTTATGTACATGTTTACAATATCTTGAATCTATATCAGTTTCAAAAGAATTCTATAAAAATCCATTCGTCATATCTATTCCAAACACATGTGAACAATACAATTAATTACTAACATCAATAGCACTACTCCTTGTTTGTGACGAATATAGTCTTCCTGTCATGGTAAACGTGCCTTATTAAACCAAGGAGCTAAATTTACAAATGAATTTCAAAATTCAATTCTTGAGCCACGTGCACATGTGTATTTCAAAAAAAGAGGATGGGATATTCCAAATATAGCTAATGAAAAACATGTAGCTTTCGTTTGTAATCACAAGCCTATTAAGCTTTAAACTAAGATGTTGTCCTCTAATAAAACAAATTGTTCCTATGTATAGAAACTGCCATTTCTAG